TCTAAAACATAAGTTAAATAAATCCCTTTTTAATTTGTGTCGTAAATTTGACGTGTACTTACATTCATAGCCTACATCGCTAATAGAAAATGAGGAGTCTGGAATATTATTTTGGTAATTTTCATCCAATATGAAAGAGATGTACACGCATATATAGACAATGAAGAAAATTAGAATAGATTTTTCTAATTTTTGTTTTAAATGTGTATCATAAATGGGTTAATTGTATACTTTGTAAACTCGTGTCTAAATTAACATGAATTTATATTCACATCCTGCATGGCAAACAGAAAATGATGGGTCTGGATTCTTAATTATTTTGGTAATTTTTATCCAATTCAAAAGAGATATATAAGTATAGACTAAGAAGAAAAGTAGCTAAAATGGATTTTTCTACGGGGAATCATGCAAATTAGCCCTTGACCATGTCAAGAGGTGACCAAAAAGCCCCTCAACTGAAATCAATAACAAATCACCCCTTAAACTCATGAACGGTGGCAAATCAGGTTATCAACCCTTATTTAACGATCATATCAATATTCTGTTAAAAACTAACGGCTCGCTAGCTTGAATGGATTCCACGGCTTACTTGGACACAATGTGGCCAATCAATGTCTAACATGGCCTCTAATGTCATTAAATCATTAATATTTTTGAATTTTCTTAAATATTCAATTAAGATTTAATTGCTTAAAGTTTTTTCATACATTAAAATTTAATTACTTATTATGGAAATCAATTGGATTAATTAAATCTCAATTGTTACTTTGTCAAGCAAACAAGAATTATAAATTTTATGTATTGTAGGATGATTCCACAACTAAGTAATATTCCTATTTATTCATAAAAAGTATCTCAATTTCAAAGTTATGAGGGACTAATTTATTATAAATTTAAATTTTTTTAAAAAAAAAGTAGTTTGAAGGCAGAGAAATTGAGAAGTACAAAATTACATAAATATAAATTAATTATCAAAAGGTATATTAATTACACCTAGGTT